TTACCTGTATGCAATGATGGCTTTATACATTTATCTTTTAATTTTTAGAATACATCAATATGATTCTGAAATATCGTGAAGACTAATCCTTCTTGTTTTACAAGAAGCAATAAATGTGGCACTCTTTGTATTGTTATTCTGTTTCCATTAGTTTATTAGTATGACCTCTATTTTTTCTCATGGAGAGAGTATTCCTTTTAAATTTTCATTTATTATTGTGGCTAGTTTTATAAAGATGGAACATTGAAAAAGATTGTAGTTTATTGATTGGTAGAGTAATGATGTAGTACTATAAAGCAGTGTGCTGAAGTATTAAATTAAATATTCTTCCTCTTTGTCCTACTTCAGGCCCATCTTGAGGTTAAAGGGTATTACATAAATGAAATGATAAATCCAGTTTACATAGTTTCCCCATAGACATAGAACTGCTTTTTTCTTATTATGTCTGAATAAAACTCATTATCTATTTTGTTTCAGTCATAATTATGAGATTCTCTCCTAAGCAATTCTTTACTGTCTCCATTATTCTCCATCTTATAACATACTCTGGAAAGGCAAGCATATAAATATGATAAAAGAATTAAGCTGTTGAAATAAATTAATTTATTTTTGCAACAATGTATTCAAATCTCACTTGCTCAATGGATTTTACTTTAATGAAATTCTTCAAAGAACAATGCATCATGTTCCAAAGATTGAAATTATACAGTAAGTGAAATGACTGAATATGTTGTGTCTCAATTTATAGAAAGTTTCAATTGAATACTTAAGCTTTTAAATAACAAAATTTGCATAAATTAAAATATTTTCTTTAAAATAAAAGTATTAAGTATTGTACTTGCATCCTTTGTTCTAAGTCAGAAAATTATAAAGTAGAAATTAACTAAAGCTAAGTTAAATACTAAATACTATGATTTAGCCTTTGCCTGTTTTTCTAAGCCATAAATATATTTTACAATAATGCTTTAATTTAAATTAGATTTCACTTAGTTTTAATATATTCTTTAGGATATTTTTAATGTATAAATAGTGAATATGCATGAATTAAAAGAATTATCAAGCAAATTTGTTGTGATTAACTATTTTGAATAACAAACTATAATCAGGTAGTATTTTTAATAGTATAGTGTTTTATTCATTAAAAAATTAAATTTTATTACTTACATAATTCTGAAAACTGTCAGTTTCTCATGCTTTCTCATGATTTCACCACTAAGAAATCTACTATGACAGGAAAATTATTTTAGAGGGATAGATCTATTTTAAGATTTTACATTTATCTCTCTTAAATATGTACCATTACAAATACGATCACTTATATAATTATTAGAAAGCTTATTAAAATGTGTCAATGAATAAACATTTTATTAAGTGACTTTAAGAAAATAAATGGCTAATTTCAAAAAATGCATTTTTATTAATATATAACAGTGTTCTGTATCACCTGACTACTGTGCATTTCTGTGTAATCCAAGTGTTAGTAATCGGATATAATAGTAGTAAACTTTAGAACTTAGACAAACTTGTATGCCTCTTTTCAGAACTTCAAGACATCAAATTTCAGCTCTTTAACGGTTACGATGCAGTTAGCTATCACATAATTTGCTGTAAACTAAGTTATACTTAAAGAAGTTCTGTGGAGTTTTACTATGAATTTTATGAATCTATAATCAATAATAAATGCATGCTTACTTCAAATAAGATAGAGAATCTATTATTTGAATTCTATGCACAAGTCAAGATTAGCCTTTTATTTGTAACTGCAGAAAGTTATATGAATTTTGGTTGTTGCCATTTGCTTCTTTTCTCAACTAACAGATTGTAGTATATTTCTACAATGGAATATACTCAACAATAAAAAAAGAACAAGCTCATAATTAATGCAATGATATAGATAGATGATACACACAAACCTTTTGTGTATAAAAGAAGTCAGGCACAAAATATGTTTTGTATGAGCCCAAGTTTATGAAGTTTTAGATCCAGCAAAACGACATATATGTCAGAGACAGTTGTTTTGGTGGATTGGAGAAATATATTTTGGTCATGGGAAATATATTTTGGGCTTAGAGAATTGGTGTCGATCTTAAAAAAAATCATTAAACTGAGCACATAATAAATGATTACTTGAAGTCACTTCATAGTTTAAAGTAGGAGTAACTCTTAAGTTGTTTTCAAATTATAACTAGAGGATAAAAATAACTTTTAGCATCCAGATGTGTTTTCGCTATTTAGAATCATGTATGTATTTGTTTTTTGGAAATTTAGATCATTTGTTTGCCATGTGGACTAAATAACTATGGTCATTTAGAACCATAGCTTGAATGATTTATTTATTTACCTTGGGGAAAAAAAAAAAAAGAACTGCCAATGTGTTCATTTCCCATGTTGTTTGGCATGTATATTTTAAAATATTTTAATCTACAAATTGCATAATTTGATAACATCTTTAGTACCCATTACTATAAGTATTATTTATCATAAAGTTTACAGAACAAGCTAATTTTAAGTTTCAACAGCTTCCTTTTCCTTCTGCACTGTTCCCTCTTACTCATTTGCTGAGTGGATGTATGTATTTTCCTCTTCCTTCTGCACTGTTTCCTCTTACTCATTTGCTGTTTGAAATTCAACTCCACATACCTTGCTTGGAAAGTTATTGTGTAATGCTTATATTTACCTACTTAGCAGTCCATTTTGCTTTTTGCAGGAAAAAATAGCACTTGATTCTTAACTGCTGGTCAAGGCAAAGGACAAATGTTTTTGTATAATATTCATGATACAACTTTTCTTTGGAATGTTTTGGTTTCCCTTTATAAAGACCAACCCACACATTTTAGAACAGTTAAAAAGCTCCTATAATTCTACTAGTTGCTTTTACAACCAGATTCTAATATACATTTCAACTTTTTAGGAGTAGAATTTAGTTAATTTAGTTAATTTTGTTTTATTTCCTTTCATTACACTATTGTTTTACCTTAAAAATGTTTTTATAATGAAGTTTCTTGTGAAAAACTTTTTTTTTTTTAGGAATAAACATTGTAAACTTTTATATATATATATATATATATATATATATATATGAGCTTTAGAAGAGACCTGATCATTTTTCTTTTATTATTTTTTTGTCAGTCTCCTCATAAATGAAGCCTCAGCTTATCATTAATAAGTTTATTGACAATGTGCGGGATTGAAAAATTTGAAAAGTATAAGACAATAAATGCATATTAAACCCCACTGGAGAACCTTTATAGAATACTGATGCCTGGGTCCTTCTTCAGACTCAGTATATTAATTTGATAGGACAAAGTACTATAAACCATGTGACTTAAAATAATAGAAATATATTCACTCACGTCTTCGGAGTCCAGAAATCTGAAATCAGATGTGAGCAGGTCTGTGAACTCTCTGAGATTCTAGGTGAATCCTCCTTTATCTCTCCATAATTGTGTGATGGTCCCTGGCATTTCATGGCTGCAGCTGCATAATCCAAAATCTTCCTCAATCTTCATTTGTTATTCTTTCCTCTGTCTCAACAGTGTTAACACCTATCAGTTGAATTAAGAGTCCACTATCCTCCAGTAAGATCTAACTGTAACTAATTACATCTACAAGGACATTATTTCCAAATGAAGTTTCAGTTATAAGTTACAGGGTTTAGGACTTTTCCAGGGCTTTCATTCAACTCATAACTCAGTATGTAAGGATCTTGGGTGGTAGAACACAAGCAGAAACACATGTGAAAAACTCCCAGGTGATTCTACTGTAAAGCAGAATCACAAGTCATGACTTCACCAAATGGAACCTGATAGCAAAGACATGGGTGGATAAACATATTTGAAGGTTTTCCATATTAGTCAGCTTTATCTTTGTTTTCCATTCCATGTTAGGTTTTAGCATTTTGAAAACATTAGCCTCCTACATGTCAATATATTTTAAAACGTTATGTATTTATTTATTTATTGCTTCTTTTAATATTTTAGGTCAGCTTTTTAAATATTTGCACCTTTGAATTCTAATGAGAATAATTTACTTATTGTTTATTATGTAACAAGTATTTGTATACTTCCACACTTGCAAATATATATTATTTCCAAGAGAGTTCTTCATGATTCATTCTGTGTTGATATCTTGTTGCTCACACACACACACACACACAAAATAATAATAATCAGGGGTGCATTTTTTTCTTAATCTGAAACTATGTATAGTTGCTCTTTGCAAATGTTTTCACAATATATAAGCACTTAATTCTAATGGGAAAGTTGCAGGTTTTAACAGGAACATATGGAGTAGGATTTGATTGTACAATATTACCAGGAAACACGTTACCAAGTTACTCTGGGATGAAGCTAATACAGATTTCATGAATTTCCCCCAGTGTATTTATGTGGGTGAGTTGAAGCTAGAAGTAAGTAGGCAGTCTGTAAGTTATCGGAGTAAAAGAAAAATAATCCAATGCTAAAAAATAATCAATTTCCAAGACTTAAAATGTGACTATCCAAGTATGTCCAGAGTGGTGCCATGATGAAATAGCTGTTAACAGCTCCTCTGGTGCTATTATTATGGTCTGCCACATTGATAATTTGTGTGCTAAATGATCCTTAGATACTTTCAGAAACAACTGCATATATGTAAAAATTTATTGAAATTGATAATTGTCTAGTGCTTAAACCTACACTCTTCTGTTCATTCTTCGTTGTCCACTGGGTTCTGAGCTGGTTTTCTTCTTTGGTCTCAGTTTTTATGCAAAGAGGAGGTTGGCATTTGCCATATTTACAGTGATGTCTGCACACAGTATCAGTTCCTAATCAAATCTTTTCCTGCTGTGGCTTTACTCAAAGTAACAATTCATTGAATACAGTTAAGTATAGATGAAAATGAGCTTATTGTCTTCACTCTTCTATAGAATGAAGGGGAAAAAATAAACCAACATTAATTAAGTCAACGTCTAAATATTTTTCTCTTTTTTCCTCTACCCCTTCCTTCCCTTGGTGCTGTAGGAGCGTGTTCCAGACAGCCCTTCACCTGCCCCCTCTCTGGAAGAGGGACGAAGGCCTGGCAGTCACCCCTCATCACACCGCAGTAGCAGCGTGTCCAGCTCCCCAGCACGGACTGAGAGCTCTTCTGACAGAATCCGTAGGTCTCATGCTTTGACTTGTCACCGTTTTAAACTTTATTAGGTGCAGCTGGCTTTTCTAATCAAAACGCCCTCATTCCAAATAGATCTCAGATGTATCATGTTCTGCCGCTCTGTAGCAATAGCCATCTCTCAAAATTATGTTTCCCAGTTTGCAGTAGCATGAGGTATGGTACTACATTAACAGGTTCTGATATAAACTCCTTCTCTTTGATGCCACACATAAAGATTTGAAGTATGAAACAGTTAGAGAAAGTAAGTAGTAATCTTCTAGATTAGTTTTTGAAGCAAACACCTTCAACTCTCAATGAGCTACTGTCTAAGGTTGGATGAATGGTTATGGACTATTCAAGTCCATGTCTTCAATCCCACTTATGCTATTTTCATTTATTAATTAAAAAAAAATCCCTGTATTGATAAAGATGCTTACAGACAGGAATAAAACAAATTGAATCCAAAGCAATGCTTTGAAACATGTTGCTTAAATGATCAATAGATTGAAGAATTTGAAATTGGTTAAATTTAGTATTTGAATGAATATAATTGATATGTACAGTATTTTCAGGTAATATGGTTATGAAATTCTAAAAAGTAGGGCTATCCTTTATTTTGTGACCCTACTTTCAGATAATTACTTTTGGGCTTCTTGGGCAAGAAATTAAGAGTAAGGTTAAAATTTCAGTCGTTTAACTGGTTTTGAGTCTGTATAATTTTTGTTTTCTAATACTAACATTAGCTATCTTGGTTAATAAAATCAGTATTTATTCTATCCTTTCCAGTATTTAATTATATTACAAAAGCCATGTTCATAATAACTTCTTAATTACACCAACATTGTTGAAGTTATTTGATTTTGAGAATATTTTCACAATAGGAAAAATACTTCTAGAAAATAACATTTTATAAGAAATGTTAACACAAAGGAGAGATTTTAAATAGAGAATATTGAAATGGATAACTTAAATATTAGATTAATTGTGTGCATTAATTTTTTAAAATAGTGAATTATTGAAAAGCACATAGTTCAAAATAACTATAAATATTAATACTGAGTTGGCCTCTCCATAGCATACTACTTTGTATTTATTTTGGAATAAATGTTTGTTACCCTTTATTAACAAACATGATCATGATGGTCACTCCCAGATTTCTTGTCTATATTTATTTCCTTTGTGTAAATTACCTTAAGACTGTAAATATTTTATTCTTCATCAAACTTTCACTCCACTAGTTTTAGAATTATTCTTGGAAAATTCTTCCTTGATAATATAACTACTATGGTGACTTCCAACTTCTAGTATTTTCTTATGATCTGTTAAAAATATCTGCTTTTCAGAAAGTATAATTTTTTATGCAATACTCCTCTTCCAAATGTTTGTGCAAAACCAGCATTTTCATGAAAAAATTCTTAATATATTGATTGACTTTTGAAAATCATAAGCATCTTTGATCATTTACTTTATCATTTCAATGACAGATTAAGAGTTAAAGGAAATTACTGTTTTTAGACATTCATCCAATCAGCAGACATTATCTGGGCATTTCTACCCCAAGTTTGAAATCATATTCAATCTTTAGAAGTACTTCGATTTCTACCAAAGTGTTTTATTTTCTACTATAGAATATTAATGTTGAAATATGAGTATTTCAGTGCCTTAGATTGTTGAAAAATCATTTTACTTATTTATACATAGAAGATGGGGTGGAATGGATGGGAGGTTTTGAGGCTTCACCAGAGACAGAATGGTGAGCCAAACAGGCAGATCTACTGAAATTCACTGCCAAGGTGGGCAGTGGGTAAGACAGGTGAGTTATGCTGTGCCGTTTGGATCAGCTCCATGGCCAAGATTGAACTCGGGCCTCAGTGGCTGAATAGGCTTGCGAGCACTGACACTTTAACCCCTGGGCCACTAGGAAGGCCTCTTAGATTTATAACATTTTAATATTATTGTGTTAGTAGAATTTTTTAATGTGAAGTTTATAGTTCTTGAAGAATTCAGAAAACTTACTGGGGAGAAAATATGATGCCCTAGAAAGTAATGCTTTATTGGTAATGATTACATTAATGTTACCATTCGAAAGTATTCCAAACATTAAAAAAAGTCATATTTCGTGTGAGTTAATGATCAAATGAAATGGATTTATTTCCGATATTTTATATATGTACATAATACTTACCATGGTTAGTATTCTCATGTGAGAATAGGTGATAGATTATAACTTTACAGTTAGAGCTTTATATTTTATTTACTTTTGAGTCCAACACAGTTTAACTAATTTACTTGAACACTGTGTGTTTGGTGTTTTGTCTTTGCTATTTTGTTTTGGGCTTAACAGCTGTCCATCAGAATGGGTTGTCCATGAACCAGATGCTGATGGGCTTGTCACCAAACGTACTCCCTGGACCCAAAGAAGGAGATTTGGCTGGTCATGACATGGGACATGAGTCAAAAAGGATGCATATTGAAAAAGGTAATGCATGATTATGTGACCTTGCTTTTCCTGTTCAACATATGAACCAAATTTGAATCACAGGATAAAGAAATCTCTTTATCACATAGAACTGTATATGAAGGTTTAAAAATCTATAGTATTAAGTAAAATTAAGCTTTTTCAACAAGAAAGAAGTATGAATGAACACCTGCTGTTTTTTTCTCATACAACAGGTATGTGATGATTTACTTTCCCCTATGTTAAGAAAAGGAAAATCGTTTACTTTAAATGTTATATCTGAAAGCCTAGTGTTAGTCTTTCTCAGTGCTGCTAGGTCAACATTCATTTTACTTTACTTGATAAAGTAACAACAATATACAAAGAATTATCATAGTTATCATTTGGATTAAAAGATTTGTGTTAATTGCAGCAATCAGGAAATGAAAGTGAACTTTATCAAACAATGTACTAGTAGTTGTTTAAATAATATATGTAACAAGTAACAAAACTCAGATTGATCATTTTAAAATTTTCATTTTTATTTCATATGGATCAGCCTAATCCATTTTCACTGGGAAAACAAAAATTCATGAAGTGCTTTTGTGAGGTTAAACATCTGTTTTGCTTCTGTGCCTTCTCCGAAGATCTTACATTTGTCTTGATAGTTGGAAGTTAATTCCTTATTGGTTCATTTCCAATATTAGACTAAACCACCTTGGAGTCGATTCATCTGTGTGTTATATTTATTTTTATAGTCTGTAAATGCGTACTAATCTATTTAAAATAGTAGAAGATTCTGAGAGATAGTAAAGGCAAGTAAAAATAACTCTGAAAATTGTATACCTCATGGGCTAATAAGGCAGAGGATGAACTTAGATAACCTATGGAAGGAACCTTTTTTTGTGAAATTAGAACATTCTGGCCATGAATATATTCATAAACACTTTCTATCACATATCACCAGTGGCACTTATAAAAATTTTAAAAATGACTTGGAGTCAGAATAGACCAGACTATAACCCAATAGTTTCCCAATATTTTAACATCTAGTTTTTTTTTTTTAAGATTTATTTATTTATGCATACAAGAGCTGGGGTCTAGGCCAGAGGTGCAGGGATATGAGAGGAATCACTAGAGACAGAGTGGGGAGCAGAACAGGCAGATAGATGAAGTACACTGCTGAGGGGAGCAGCAGGAGAGACAGGAGAGGACTGATGTGCCATGTGGGTCAGCTTTCTGGCTGGGATAGAGGTTGTACTTCAGAGGCTGGCTAGAGCTTCATGGAGCTGAGACTTAACTCTTGGAGCCACAGGGAGGTCCCTGGGATCTATTTTATTTTATTTTTTTTAAGGAAAATAACTTTTTGTAATATTCCGCTTTGGAATGTGAAATTACCATTGGACTCATTTTAGAATTTCAAATGTGGGTTTGTGGCAGTGGAAACTTTAATTAGTGCTGAAACTATTTTTTTTAATATGTTGCTCTTTCATTTGTATGTACTTTATAATCTATTTTTCAGCATAATGAATTTACAGTAAAAAATTCATAGACTTTCTAGATTGATAGTCGACTGAATTAAGAATTATTTTCTCTCATTACTAAATGTCATTGCCTCATTCCAGCCTTGTAACTTTCCTACTACACACCTATCTATCTGTATTAAACCAAGTGACTTCATCTACAGGCATTTGTTGGGGAATTAATTATATGTTTATGTCATTTTAGTCTTGAACTTCTTACATGCAATTTTCTGCCTACCACTTTAAATCATTCAGAAGTTAATTCTTAAGAAAGCATTCATGTTAAAAATAGCAATATTAATTTATATACCAAGAATTACTATGTTCTAAAATTCCAATCTTTAGTAACTTTTCAGCATTTTGTTCTTAATATGCCAAAATTATTGAAGCAATTATATTAGATAATATACTTAAATCACCACTAATAGAAGGAAAGTGAATTTTCAGCATTAGAAATAAAAAAAAAAACACTAAGAGCTGAGATTTATTTTTATTTTTTTTAAATAATTTTTAAAAAAGGTTTGGAGCCTAAGTATTTATTAAAATATATTCAAATTATAGATATGAAAAAATGCGTTAGTATATCAAAAAGTAATAGACATATAACATTGTTGCAATCACCCAGGTGTGAGGAGAAATGCTTTTGAAGTTATGAGCTATGACTAAAAATAGGAATTTGTCAAAGCTGTGCTCAGGAAAACTGACACTGCTCATAGCTTAAAAAACAATTTCATGTCTTCTAACTTTTTAAACATACTGTGAGTCCTCTTGAGCTTTCTGTTTTAAAACTTTGGTGATTTTTTTCTCAAGTCTAGTGGAATAGGCAGTAATGATTTGCATTTGAGAATATCAACAGCATTGTTACTTCTTTATGCTGCAACTGTTATTTATTCAACACAGTTGTGTGTTGATTCCAATTTGCAGTTATACTTTTTTTTTCTTAAATTGCTGCTAATTTCTGCATGCTTTATAACATATTTTTTTCTTACCTGCATATAGTTTTTCATATGTACATTTTTAAAAAAGATTTATTTATTTATGCATACAGAGCTAGGGTACAGGCTAGATGTGAAGGGGCAGTGAGAGCATTCACCAAAGACAGAGAGTGGGTGCAGAACAGGCCGACTCAACAGCTCTCCCACTGCTGAGGGGAGCTGTTGGTGCATCAGGAGATATCTGCAGGGCCTTGTGGATCACCTCCGGGGCAGGGATTGAACTCATACAGAAGTGGCTTTAGCTTCTTAGTGCTGTGCTTTAACCCACACATTTTTATGGGATGTATTTAAAATGTAATTGACCCAGTATTGTATATATGATATAGTTAAGCCTATTAGCTTTTTCCAATTTTTGCAAACGTAAGCACTTATAATTGGGACTAACTATTGAATTCCTAATTTACACTGCTATATTTCAGTATTAGACTAGAGCACACCAAAGTGATACAATCAATTAATACATGTTTAACTGAGTGCCAGGGTTTTGCTAGACACCCCATAAAAAATGAACCCCTCCCACTCCCCCCTTCTCTCTGTCATTTTATTGCATACTTTATATATGTATACTTATTTTCCCGGGGTTTTCCTCAATTTGCCTTCATAAGGAATACGAAAAGCTTCTTTCATTGATGTCTGACATTTAGAAGCAGGGATTCTTTAGGAACAAGCAGGAAACACTAGAGATTTGCTTCAGGCCATAACCCACTTCTCTTGCATATTCTGCTAGGTGGGCAGTGCTTAACCAACTGCTTAACTAGGAATAAAAGTACATTCTCATTTTGAGGCTCTGAACTTGAGGACAGAAACACTAAATGCAGTAAACTGGTCTATTTGGATTTCCTATCATTTATATTTTATTATTAGAATTCAACATTGTGGATCATTTCCCTACAAAACATCTTAATTTTATTGACTATGGTATCACGTTTCTCAAGTATGTGAAAATACTTTTTTGAAATATATTTACAATTGCACGTTCTTCATTGCTTAAAAATAGTCATCAATTAATAATAATGTGTTATGAGTGTTATCACAAATCTGAACCTTGCAAGCAAGAATCTCTTGTGGCTTCTAAATGTGCAGAGAGAAAGCCTATTTTTCTTTAAAACTTTTGTGCTTTGATAATGTTAACATATACCACCATGAGTAATTTTATGTTAAAATTCTCTTACATGCAACTACTTCACTTTTATTCTTCAGATATGATTTCTCTTGACATATCTGAAAGGTCTTACAAAATTTTCTGCCTAAATACCTACTCATGTGAGTTTACTTTTCAGCGTCTGGCCTGTGAATGAATACAGGTGTTGAACATAATACTGATCCTTGTTATGTATTCACAACACTGGACAACAAATTTCTCTAAATCCCACAGCTCGTTCTTAAATTGATTTCAGATTGTACATGCTAAGCCATAACTTGGAAGAAATTTTCTGAAGGCATTGATTTATTATTTTATGAATTATAATTAGAGAAGCTTAACTTGCAGTGATATTTCACTGAGAATTTCAGAAATTCCTTCCTATGAGACTCCCATTACATAAGGTATTGATGGGCAACAGGTATAAAATATGGGCTTTCATGTTTATTTTTTCCTTATGCACTTGCTGACTGTCCTGACAGACATACTTTCAAATTTCTCAGAAAGCCCTGAGAAATAGTTCCAGGAAACTAAGTTTCTTCCCTTACCTGGTAAATCAATGCTTCCTTCCTTGTGGTATTTATCCAAAAATTAATCTGGGGAAAAGCTGAATTTTCCCACGATCTTTGACATCTTTACATATCTAGCAAGAGTTGACTAGTATTGAGTACAAAAAATTATTGTTAGAGTTAAGTGAGATAATATAGGTCTGGAGCACTTGATCCATTTAAGTCTTCTATGGAAACCATTAATACTATCAAATTAGCTAATGGGTATGTATAGGTTTGATTTTATAAATGAGAAAATATACATGCTATGAGCCACTCAATTAGAATACTATCTGTTTACAGTTCATAACATCACAGTTACTGTAATTTATCTTTAGTCCTAATAGGAAAGTTGCAGCTATGGTATTTTGATAGCATTCTCATTGCGTATACTACAGTTATAATGTGCAGTGCCAAGGAAAAAGTTTCTAAGGTAACTAAGTTAACCAAATATTTTTTTTTTTTTTAAAATTTTTTTTTTTAAAGATTTATTTATTTGTACATACAGAACTGGGGTACAGGCCAGAGGCTCAGGGGCGGTGAGAGGCTTCACCAGAGGCAGAGTGGGGAGCAGAACAGGCAGATCGACGAAGTACACTGCTGAGGGGAGCAGCGGGCGGGTCAGGAGAGGTCTGCCTCGCCATGTGGTCTCCTCCGGAGCAGGCGGGAATTGAACTCATGCGGAAGCAGCTTTAGATTCTCAGTGCAGTGCTTTAACCCGCTGCGCCACCAGGGAGGTCCCAACCAAATATTTTTATATCACTATTTGTGAAAGTAATTATCTGAATAAACTTTTCAGCTATTAAAAAGCCTTATTTTTTTTCAAGACAATTTA